TATATATATATATATATAGCATATATATATATATATATATATATATATATATATATATAACTATATATATATATATATATATATATATATATATATATATGCTATATATATATAACTATATATATATATATATATATATATATGCTATATATATATGCTATATATATGCTATATATATGCTATATATATATATATATATATATATATATAGAGAGAGAGAGAGAGAGAGAGAGAGAGAGAGAGAGGAAGAGAAAGAGAGAGGAACGAAGAAAGATTATCATATCATTATAATTATTATGTTGTGTTATGTTGTATTCAATATTTTAATATTATTAGTTACATTTATAATTATATGTTATTTATGGTAAATGTTTTATTTATAGTAGGAGAGAGAGAGAAAGAGAGAAGATAGACAGAGAAAGAGATAAAGAAATTTTATTAAAAAAAGTAGAGAGAGGGAGAAAAGGAGAGAAGGGAGACAGAGAAATAGAGAAAGAAGCTTTATTAAAAGAAGAAAAAAAAGAGAGAGAAAGAAAAAGAAAAGAAGGTAATTATGTTATGTTATTTTGTATACAATATTTTAATATTATTATTTATAATTATGTTATTTATGGTAAATGTTTTATGTAAAATTATATAGAAAAGACAAGATAGCGAAAGAGAGAGAGAAAGAAGAGAGACAGAGAAAGAGATAAAGAAATTTTATTAAAAAAAGCAGAGAGAGGGAAAAAAGGACAGAGAAAGAGAAGAAAGACAGAGAAATAGAGAAAGAAGCTTTATTAAAAGAAGCAAAAAAGAAGAGAGACAGAGGAAGAGAAAGAAAAGGAGAGAGAAATATTAGGTAATAAATATTATTATTAAATATTATTATCTTTAATTTATTTAATTTTTGTAAATAAATGATCAATATGTTTAATTAACATATATATATTTATATATATGTATATAAATATATATATGTACATAAAAGTATTAAAAGTATAAAAAATATTAAAAGAGAGATAGTGAAAGAAGAATATGAGTATAAATATTTTATTTATTTAAAGTTAAAGAAGAATAAGCATAAAAAGTGAGAAGAAAGTTCGTAAAATATTCACTGTTCGATGATCTTACTTCAATACTTTTAGATAAAATAATGAGAAGAATCCATTGTTGTAAAAAATGTAATAGCTCAATAGCGCGCGCGAAGCGCGCACCTGTGTTGTTCTAGTTACTTAAAAATTACATGAAAAAATAGTTACAGAAACTCGTAAGAATTGTTGTAGAGGACATTAACTTATAATAGTAATTATTTTAACTTAAATTATTTGTAATAGAAACATTTGACTTTAATTCTGATTATTTTGTATGTTAAAGTACAAGATTATTTGAAGATTTACTTTAACTTTTCTTAGAATGTTAAACTAGACATGTGTTTTTGTCATTTGAATCGACGTGATTATACGTTTCCCATGTTAATTCGGTGCAAATTAAAATCCTTATAATCTGTGAACTTTAGTGAATCGATTTAAAAATTGTACTGAAGAATCTAAACATATGTAAGGACATTCTGTACAATTTTCATTAAATTCTTAATATTTTGAAAATAGGTATAAAACATCCTTAATTGATTTTCCATTTCTTTCTAATTGACTTCATCTTGAATTGCGGTCAAAGATAATCGATCGTCCAACGAACACAACGCTGCGCTTTGGTGAAACCAATCCGGCTCCAAATGGCATCATTCGATATATTCGTCTAAATATCTCGGGTCTCGCATTTTCCCGAGAGACGCTGTTGATGGATTGAAACGTAATACCCCGTATGTACATTCACCGCGACCCTGGCCGGATTGGATTCCTTCAGTAGAGAATTCACTGTCACGGTCTCGCGAGAGAGCCATGGTAAGGAAAAGGATAAGACCGTATGTGTTACTCGTTTTTGTTTTCGCTCGAGCGCCGGCGTGGCGTGTAATTTTTGCTTTTTTATTACGAGACAAAGATGCCGCGTCGGGATCGGTTTCCCTTTCTCCCAGGCGCGTTTTGCGAAGATTTCAAACAAATCTCGCAGAGTGAACGGTTCTACCCGGTCATCGCCTCGTAATTTCTGCGTCTACGCGTATCGGCACCGCCCTTCACTACATGCTTCTTCAGGAAGGGGAAACAGATCCCTCTCGTTTCCGCGATTTATCGACGATGCTGCACATTTGCGATATATTTATCCCTCTTGAGAACTCTTTTTTATACTTAAAAACTATTTATATATTTTTTATTTATTATTTATTTATTATATTTTTTATTTATTATTTATTTATTATATTTTTATTTTATTTATTATTATTTATTATTATATTTATTATTATTATATTTATTATTATTTATTATTTTATTATATTATTATATTATTTATTATTATATTTATTATTATTATATTTATTATTATTTATTATTATATTATTATTTATTATATTTTTTTATTTATTATCTTTTTTAAATATTTTATGTAAATGATATTTATTTTTAATTTTTAATTATATTATTTTTAATTTTATAATTTACTATTTTAATAACAATTTAGAAACTTGTATCTATTTGAAAAAAATATAATTTGCTATTTTAATAAGTATTTTAATAACGATTTAGAAACTTATTTATTTATTTGAAAAAATAAAATTTTTTGTAATCCTCGTCCTATGTTTTAGAACTTTGTAATGTTCGCTTCTTATTTCATAATATAATATTTTATAATATAATTTAAAATTCACATCTTACACCGAAATATATGTATATACTATGAAACAGTGATATACTTTCTGTAACGTAATTATATATTGAGCAAGATTCCTTTTCACTGCCATAAGTTATTGTAACAATGTTTTGAAGCAATTTAATAAAAATAGGTGAGAACAATGTGAAAAAGTAAATTGAGAAACCGCATTCCCCAGAGAAAGTCCGAGATTGGATCTAAATACTTCCTAACATTCAAAAGAGAAGGTAATAAGAATAAAACAGAGTAAGCGACTTTACAATCTAAAATCTGATTTTTATCCTTCATTATATATATAAATTAATTTTGTTATTTCTTTAATAAATATATAAATTATCATTTGATGTAACTTTTAAATCTGTACAATTTAATATTATTATAATTGTTCCAATCATATATATACCGTTAAAAAGTATTTGAAATTGATTGATAAACAAAAATTTTGTTTATTTAATTTCATTCTATTTGCTATTTTTGGAGATTTGGTATATTAAAATGTATACAATATTCAACATTAAATAATTCGTTTTCTAACTAATGAGATTTAATATCTCAAAGTCATAGAAAGATATCTATTTAGAAAGTATTAATAATTATGAAAAATTTTGCATTCTATTCAGGAGTAAGCGAAAAATAAATAATTTCTCATGTCGAATCGAAAGCAAAAAATGTATTTATAGATGCATTTATTGAGCGTATAGTATTGTAGAAACAAATTATATATAAAACTTTCGCGACATTTACATTTCATACATCAGATAAATTTAATTAAGCGTATCTAAGTTAATTACTTGGATTTCAATGTGAAAAGTTATATATACATATGGAGATAATAATTTCTTTTCTCTCGGTACAATTACATTCCCTTGTATTACTATGCAAATCGATTATAAAAATGCTCGCCATAAATTATTTAATAATATTTAGATTTAAATTATTGATTATTTAATTATTTAATTATTATGTGATAACTCTTGAATAACAATTGGACCACTTTCTATGACAAATCATATTTTCTGATACGTAAGGCTATTTTTTAGAAATAAAATATAAGATATGTACAAAATATTGTAACAATTGATATCAAAGTTGTGATAAATATAATATTTCTGATATACGATTATATGATATATGTTATAAATGTTGTGCTCGTCAATAGCTGGCTGATAGATGGCAGCAATTACTGAACTTTCAACATAGTAAAGCAGAAATATAAGCAGAGTACTATCTTATCCATTTTTCCATAAATATTAGCTACATTAAAATAGTCTGATTATCCATTTATTACATAGCAAGTACAAAACTAGAAGATAACGGAGAAAAGTATTATCAAATAGGGCATCAGCAATAGATTCTTGATTTTTTTCGCCGTGATTGTATATTATGATCACAGAAATTTTTATTTTTTAATTATCTCTAAATATACTTGAATATTCCTTAATTTAAATCTTTAAATAATAGATTATTTTTTATATTTTAATAACAGATTATTCAAAAATTATTAGAATTATTATATTAGTTAAAATTATTAGATTATTTAAAAATTATTAGAATTATTAGATTATTTTAATTTAAATATTTAAATAATCTTTAAATAAAAAATATATTTCTAAATTCATATGTCCACAATTATTTAAATATACACTTAGGAATACTTACTGTACAGTTTTAATATTTCTCACATTACAAATACAATAGATTCCTCATATATTATGTTCAACGTCAATAAAATAATTTCGTACAAATTGATCTTGATAAAAATAATAAAAAATAAAGCTATAATATAAATGCAAATTTTTCAATTTTAAATCAACAGGAAGAACATGATTCTTCCTTTCTCGCGAAGGCGCGATGAATTAATGAAATAAATAAACCAATAGCACCTCCTGTCGATTCGCGTGTTATAATTCTTGATCTTGATCTTGGCCGTTCACCGGACGTTTGCCTTTCATTAAGAGCAGGAACAGCCCGGAAAGGAGGAAGTGCATAAAGGGAACGAGCGGCGGGGGAGGAAGGCGCATTAACCCTCCTCTCCCTTCCGCTTGGTGCGGTGACTTTTTACCACCGGGTTTGCGGCTATTAGAGGCGACTCCTTTCACAAGCACCACGCAGGTGGCAAAAGACTCCCTTTCATTCTCTTATCCAACTACTATCACGTACGTGTATAAAAGCAGCACGCGTATTCAGGTAGTCGTCAGATCGAAACCGCGCGGACAAACGATTCGTTTTCTCCTTGGATTACACATCGCATTTCTTTCCGCCCTTGTCGTTTCTTCTTCTTCATTGCCCCGCGAAAGTGACACTCTCCTCTCCCCGCTGGTCCTATTCCGGAAGAATGAGAAGGCAACGCGAAATGGTACCGTATCTCTTGGTAAGACATCCGCTGGATTATATCCGCTTACGATTGGACGCAACTTAAATGTAATTTTATTTTTGTGATTGATCAGAGAGAGAATAATGGATCATTCGTTTCGCGACTTGCGCAGTTAATGAAATTATAAAAAAAAAGCTACTGGACTATTAAAAGTAAAAATCTTAGATAAATTAATTTTTTAAATAATGTATATCTAACAATAAGTTATATATGTGCATTTTGGGAAAATTTAGAAACATATTTTTATGAAAATGTGATCGTTTTAATACAAACAGTGGGAATTTTTTTATTACAGTTACTCGCAATATTTTTAATTGTAATTTTCTAAGTTGCACATCTGTTATTAAATTATTATATTATTTGACATTAAGGATGTTTTGTACTTATTTTCAAAATATTGAGAATTTAATGAAAATTGTACAGAATATCCTTACATATATTTAGAATCTTCAGTACAAGTTTTAAATGGATTCACTAAAGCGTTCACAAGTTATAAGAATTTTAATTTGCACCGAATTAACATGTGCTCTTATGGGAAACGTATAACCACGTCGATTCAAATGACAAAAACACATGGAAATAGTATTCAGAATTTGTTTAAATTTTGCAAAAGTTTAGATACAGAGGAAATATTTGGTCAAATAATATTATACAAGTACTAACTGGTACAGTACTAACTGGTTAAAAAGATATTAAATATAATTCAATGAAGTTAGCTATGTATCTGTCACAAGGTAAAATTCTCTGCCAAAAGTTAATCATTTCGATTAACAAAATTCGGAATATTTCAGTAAAAACGCAATAAATATTAAAAATACATCTCTGCACTGTAGCTAACAAAAGATCAAATTGTAATATTCCACACAATTTCTTACTCAAAATATACCAAAAGTGGATATATTCGTCAATATTGATTTTCAGCTACTTTTTGCTGGAATTGTACATGCAAAATATCCTTAAGAATGTTTTGTACCAATTTTCAAAATATTGAGAATTTAATGAAAATTGTACAGAATGTCCTTACATATGTTTAGAATCTTCAGTACAATTTTTAAATCGATTCACTAAAGCGTTCACAAGTTATAAGGATTTTAATTTGCACCGAATTAACATGTGTTCTTATGGGAAACATATAATCACGTCGATTCAAATGACAAAAACACATGGAAATAATATTCAGAATTTGTTTAAAATTTGCAAACGTTTAGATACAGAGGAAATAGTTGGTCAAATAATATTATACAAATAATAACTGGTTAAAAAGATATTAAATATAATTCAACGAAGTTAGCCATGTATCTGTCACAAGGCAAAATTCTCTGTGAAAAGTTAATCATTTCGATTAACAAAATTCGGAATATTTCAATAAAAACGCAATAAATATTAAAAATACATCTCTACACTGTAGCTAAGATCAAATTGTAATATTCCACACAATTTCTTGCTCAAAATACACCAAAAGTGGATATATTCGTCAATATTGATTTTCAGCTATTTTTTGCTGGGATTGTACATACAAAACATCCTTAAGTATTATATTTCTTTATTACATATCATTGCAGCAAATCATTATAAACAACTGATTTTTTAATCAATAGTACAAATAAATTACTGATATGTATCTTTATTAACGATCTTTATTATTTTTAGTTGAATCTTCTCCTAATCGTTCCACTAATTAGCTTGACCAACGCCGGTGGACACGGTGGCGGACAGTAAGTTTAAATTAAGCTTTATATAATCGTAATCTCGAAAACGAATAAAACCAAATAAAATAAAAGTGAATTATCTCTTATATCGTGTCAACGACTGAACTAATCACGTAATCTTCAAACAAGCAAGATCTTCAATACTTTCTCTACCCTTTGCAGCAAACACGTGGTAATTCACGTGCCCTACCAAGTCAAAACTATCCACCACACGCACACAATCACGAAACACATACATCACAAGGATGGTGGCGGCGACAAGTACGAAGTGCTCGGATATACTGTGGGTCATCCGATTGACCTCGGAGGTCACGGGGGCGGAGGACACGATTTCGGCGGTAGCAGTGGAGGATACGATTTCGGCGGCAGCAGTGGAGGACACGATTTTGGTGGCAGCAGTGGAGGACACGATTTTGGCGGCAGCAGTGGAGGACACGATTTCAGCGGCGGCAGTGGAGGACACGATTTCGGCGGCAGCAGTGGAGGACACGATTTCAGCGCCAGCAGTGGAGGACACGATTTCGGCGGCAGCAGTGGAGGACACAATTTCGGCGGCGGTGGAGGCGGCGGTCACGATTTCGGAGGTGGATTCGGAGGCGGAGGTCATGAAGGCTGGTCGAGTCGCTAGGAAGATTCTTTCGCATATTTTTGCAGAAACTAAAATTATCTTTGAAGTAATCGACACGGTAATCCTTTAAAGTGTGTTATCCCTGTTATCTTCTTGATAACTTTGTCATCTATTTGTATAGCGATCTTATCATACATAGAGTGACATGCTCCCTGATTATCGATAATCGATCGTAATGTTAACGATCATGTAATTATTTTAATAATGCTACTCTCTAAAAGTGAATCAGTGTATTATCACTGAAAAACAAAAGTCGCTGATTACAGCAGTTATAAGTACAGCACTGTAAATCAGTGATATTTTATTGAAGGAATCAATTAATAATTTTGACTGTCAATCAGTAATATTTCTCAATATCAGTAATATTTCGTTATTGTCGGTAATATTAAACTATAATTCATCTCTCTGTCTATTTCATATAAAATTAAAAATTTTATATTTACTAAATATTTATTATATTAAAAATTTTATTTATATTACATGCATATTGAACTTGTTATTTTAAATAGACAACGAACGAATAATTTTCATTAAGTCGCCAGACATTTATTTGTCCGATTTATAAAGATCGATTTAATATCTGAAGCTTCTCTATTGAGATTGTATCAGACATTAAATCGAAGTAATATTTCTAATTTGAAATGTCGCTCTTTGCAAACTTTATATAATTCTTATAATTAAAATTAAATATGAGAGAGATAGCGATCGTAGCGGTAAATGAACGAACTGGCGATTACTGGTTTTACAGTGAAATTTACTGATTTTGCAGTGAATTTTATTTTAACCATAATCAGTGAGATGTAAGATAAAATAACAAAAAAATAAGTGTTTCCATTGAAAATCAGTAACGTACTCACTGATTCTCAGTGAAATCTTATTTTACTGTTTAAATTAGTGATATTTTCACTGATTCACTTTTAGAGAGTATAACATCTGACGCACTTGTGATACATTTTCATTTTAATTATCTCTAAACGAAAAATTAGCATTCATAAAAATATGCTTCGAAGAGTTAATGCGCTTCTACGCATGACACTTTTACGTGCATCGCTAATAAATGATTTGATTTTATATTGTTATAATGCCAGTCTAAGATAAAATGAAATCGTGAGCGAAGCTGATACATTTGACAAAATTGTATTTGACTTTCCATTTTGCGGAGTACTGATCAATCTTTCGATTTTAAGAAAAAAGAATTCAAAGAAAAGGATCCAAATATTTTTTTCTTCTTTTATATTTCTAGTCTGATTATGAGTAATTTTCATTAACTCCTTGACACGTTCTTTGAGCACAATGTGTACATATCATAATATTGTTACTGTTTGTGTTATCTTTGTATTGTTTTATTTTTATATCTATATTGTTTTTTGTTAAACATAATATAATAAATAAATTATGTATGTTTTTACGGTGTGTATTTTTCAATTTAATAAGTCGCGTATATGATTGCATCCCTTGTATTCTAAACATATTTTATAAAGCGTACTTAAAGTACGCTCTCTTATGATTTTACTGAAATTTATTTTCCACGAAATAATTTCGAACTTGAGATCTTTTTCAGTCAAAAATTAAAAACTAACAAAATAATTCTTTAGATCTCTGTACGCAAAATAATATGCTCTCTTTAATTATAAACAGCTTCGAACTAATGAGCCATTATAAACAATATTTATGTTATTGGAATCTATTAATATAATCACGAGATTACGAGAATTCAGAATCACAAGATTTAGAGAATTTTTGGATGAAAAGAAACAAGCAAATATGCCTTTTGATACCTCATATCAGAGATTTAAATCTTTTTTTAACATATCATATAAAGCATTATATTATAAATATCTTATTTCGACATAAAATAAAATTGCACATATTACGAAAAAAATAATTTATCTGATTTAAATTTTATTCATTTCTAGATTCACATATATTAGAAAATACGAAAATATATATTTGTTTATATACGTGCATATTTTTTATATTATTATAAAATTGGCTAAATAATATGATTTAATTTTCAACAAAGCATTATTTCACGTATAGATTCTAATGGAATGTAAACATTATTTATTTCATTAATTTATTCGAAATCGCGCGTTTTCTATTGTTTAGACTTTATAATTTAATTTATTATAGACTTTAATTTATTAGACTTTTAATTTATCAGATTTTATAATTTAATGTTAAAAACTACTATTGTTCAACATTTTTATTAAAATGATCAATTTTATCTTTCGATTTCTACATACTTCTATGTACGACAGGTTGCATATTAACAGGCACATTGCACTTATTGTTAGATATGTCATTTTGTGTTGAGAGAAATATATTTGCGCTTCTTTAGAAATTTAACATAAAAACGTTTATCTTAATATTCTAAAAATATTCTAAAATTTAATAAAATTTTTTAAACACATTTTATATACATTTATATACAGGGTGTATCTGAAATAATGCACTAAACTTAGGAGCGTATTCTAGAGATCAAAATAAGACTTTTTTTCTTATGAACATGGGTCCCCCGAGTTAGAGACCCCTAAAATTTGGGGAAAAAATTAAAATCAAAAAATTCAATAAAAGGCTTAAAGGATGAAAAGATGCGAAAAAACGGTTATTAATGTAATAAATCCAATAAAACGTTTATTTGATTTTCTTTTTTGTAGAATGCCACCATAATCAAGGTTTTAATCAATGCACATCAGGCTCCACTACATTTTCGGCTGGTCATCGACTTATGCATCTTTGACGGTTTTTATTGAGATGTATGTGGGCCTGTTTGTTTGATTTTTCCTTTCGGAGTGTCATCGAGGAGAGTAGCTTGCTTTTTCATGGTACATGGAGATTTTGCAATATGGGTTTGCTTATCAATACGTTGCGCTTCTTTGTTCGTTTGAATTCGTCCGTTATTTTGCGTTAATTTATTTCGACTTTTTTTACTCTTTTATTTCCCTTTTATTTGTTTATTATTACTAATGACTGTTAATTTGATTTTATTTCATTTTATTTGTATGTTTTTACTGTTATTTCGCGATTTGACATTGAAAAGGATCCTAATTGGATCGAAACGCAGCGTTTGTCACTTAAATCAAATAAACGTTTTATTGGATTTATTACATTAATATAACCGTTTTTTCGTATCTTTTCATCATTGTGCTGGTCCTTTAAGCCTTTTATTGAATTTTTTGATTTTATCCTATGGACCTTTATTTAATTATATTTAAAAAATTAAAAATTGTTTGTATTTCAGAAAAAAAGGTTTTGACCTTATCACTGTCACTGTCTCTTGACCTTGTCACTGTCTCTTGAGAGATAAATAAATTTGCGTTGCGGATATTTGGTTAATTTCACACATTTTCGAATTTTAACAAAAATAAAGTCAAATTATTGTAAGTTTATTAACAATTTGTTAAATATTAATGTAATTTTATAGGTTAAATATAGTAAAATTATTCAAATTATCTAATAAAAATTAGTCAATTATCTAAATAAAAATTAGTCAATTATCTAAAATTACAGCAAAAATGAGGTAAAATATTCGCTATAGAGTTGACGAGAGAATAAAAATTTTAATTTTATGCAACGAAGGAAAATCACAACGAGAAATTACAAAAATTATTGGTCGGTCTAGAAAAATGATGGAAAATGCATTAAGACACAAAAATAATAAAGAAACTAGAAATGTTTTATGATCAGACAAAATTAAAATAAATTTTATAGGATCTGATGGAAGACGTTATGTGAGAAAGCCACCAAATCAGGAATTGCTATCAAGGTATACTATAAAAACTGCAAAATATGGCAATGGCAATATAAAGTTATGAGGAGCATTTTCGCGATACAGGGTTGATCCAATTTATTAGATTAAAAATGCTCTGGATTAAAATGAATATGTACATATTCTTGAAAATATCATGTTGCCCTTTGCCAAGGAGGATGTGCTCATATGGATATTTTAAAATGGCAATGATCCCAAACATACTTCTAAGAGGACAAAAAAATATTTTAAGGATCATAAAGTGTCTGTGATACCATGGCCTTCTCAATCGCTGGATCTCAACCTGATTAAAAATTTGTGGAGAGACTTAAAGATCGCTGTTTCTAAACATAAAGCTCGAAATAAGAAAAAATTATGAAATCATACAAGCAGAATAGATACCCATTGAGCGGGGTCGCAAACTTGTTGAATATATTCCAAGGCGCTGTGAGGCAGGAATTAAAAATCGTGTCACGCGACAAAATATTAATTATAAAGAATTGATAACGAGAATTTGAGAATTTAATAACGAAATTTTTGTCAACTTTTAGTTTAAGTGTTTCAGTGTTACTTTTTTTATTATGACTCTATTTTTATAACCAAAGAATTTTATATATTTATTTTTATAACCAAAGAATTTTATATTTTTATATATTTATATAATTTATATATTTATATTATAGTTTATTATTTCTCATATCTTAATATAAGTTGCAATAAAATGAAAATTTGTCTTTTTTGTCTCTTATATTTGGAATAAATAATATGATGAAATACATTTAGTACAAATTTAAACTTTAATATTTTTATTGCTGATTGTTGTTTTCCTTTTTCAATGGCTCTATTTTCATCACTGTATATACATACACATACACATATACGTATATATATCTTGAATTTAAAAAATACAAAATATTGCAAATTTATATATATATATATATACAGGGTCTACCAAAAGTGTGGAAACCCCTAAATATCTCGGAAAATATACGTTTTACAGAAAAGTGTTTCCAACAAAAGTTGTAGGGTTTAAGAAGATCTATATACTGATTCTATCAGTTTGACCTTGGATGGCGTCGTCAAGGTCAGGTCAAGGTCACATTGACTTTTTTAAATGACACCCCCTACATTTGATTGCATATTCTTATAGCTTAATTCAAGAGCTTTCCAAAACACTATAATAATGTTCATTTTTATTAAGTACTTTGCGAGTTATGAGGGTTGAATGATAGAGTAGCGCCGGTATTAACATTATCCAAGGTGTACTACATGGAGGTTACTCGCTCGGATTTGCATCTGTTGTGTGTGTGATCCAGCTAACTAAGGCAAGATCGGTCGTGGATCCAGTCAGCAAAAGCAAAGACCCAACCAAATTACAATCGAGCATTTAAAGACCTG